CTGACAGTTAGCTGGAACCAGAAACCTATAAACCATGCTTTTTACTTGAAATCTGACTTTTAAAACATACTTACAGACACAATATGGGTCAAACTAGGGATGTTGGTGGGGACTGAGTCTGGTTAGTGCTGGTGTCCTTCTATGATTGTGGTTTAGACTGATGCTAGTTTAAAAGGATTAGAGTGCTTAATACCTTGCAGACAGATACCTGACCACCTCCATGACCTTTCTGTAGTGCAGCACCATCTTTACAAGTTGTTTTCATTGCATATTGAACTCAGCTGGAGAAGCAGGGGAAGGGAGACTGGTACCAGGATTCCTGGGGATGCGATGGGTCCCCTCACAACTGTGCTGGGCACAGGCTTCAGAACAGAAATCCTGTGTGGGGAGTGAGTAGTAGCTGGGTCCTGACTCCCAGACTTGATTTGGTATTTCCTCAGAAAAGGCCTGGGTAAAGACCAGCCTACGATCAGGTCAGGAGGTCAGGGCCAATAACTTCCGGGGTTTGATGTTAGGCTTTGACTGTTGTGACCCTTTTCTGGTGGTGTGTTTCACTCTCTCTGATGTAGCTATTACCTCCAACCTCTCATCAAAGTGGTTTTTCTGCCTTCAGAACAGAAGTTCTTTCTTCCTCCAGCAGTCTTGAAAAATGAATACAAAGAAAGGCTGCAGCCGCTCTTAAAAGGACAATAAAGTGTGAGTGCTTTGTCTATAGATTTTCAGAATCACTGGCTGGACCAACACTGTGGGATGATGCAAGACTCCACCACAAAAGGTTTAATTCATACCTAAAATGTTGCCATTATCTTAGGTAATGATATATAATTAAGTTGCTGACTAGGTTCTCATGCTTTTCTATCAGTGATTCATGGCTGTTGTCAAAAAAGCAGCAGCATCAACTGAGCTCATTTGGCTAAAGCCCTTGTTTGAAATACCCAACCAACAGGGTTTTCTTGATCCATCGGCTCATCAAGGTAGTTCATGTGTTTCTGTAAAAACCTGAGTGCATGCCAGGTTTCCTCTACACCCACTGCAGCTTTCCAGAACAATTTCTGATGTTGCCATAAAATATGGTAAAAAAGTGGAGACAGCAGCTGCACTCTAGACACATTTACTGTTGTCTATTCCATAAAGCAACATTGAAGAAGAACATGTTATAGAATCAAAGTCCTTATCTTTTCCAAAGATAGTATTGACATCCCTAGAATGTGTCTCATTGTTCCCAATAGGATGGATACATGGAGAAACTTCTTCCAGGGTAGCTGTTCTTTCATAATACCTTCGTGGGTGAGGATCCTAATAGCATGGGTCAAGGTTGACCAACAAAAAACTAGAATACCGCAGACTATCACTGGGCTGGCAATCCAGCTCAGCAGATTTGTAAAAGCGAAGAACAAAAGCTGTGAAGTGGGAAGATTGGTCTACAAAAAATGAATTTATTAGCTTAGACCCCTAGTGATAGGTAAAAAGGATAGGTTTAAAAAACATAAACACCTTCATCTTTTGTTTGTGCTTCCCTGGTTGGACTGGAGACTCCTGCCTCAGAGTTCCAAGTCCAAGTCCAAGTACTAAGTTACAGGCATGTGCCATTATGCCTGGCTATACCACAAACATTTAAAAGTGTAATTTGGCTTCATAACTTGATGTGGTGGCACACAGAAGCAAAATTTTAAAAGAGAAAAGAAAGAAAATAATTCAGTTCTTTTTTGAAGAAACTTTCAACTTCAAATGCCTGAATTTGTATCTCACAGATGCTTTCAAATATTATGGTTGGGGGGCCAGTCAGAGGTGTTTGTTTCTATGGGTCTGAGAGTAAAAGCAAAGGTAAGAAGTCAGGGTTAAAGTGGTTTTATTTATCCACTGTGGGGGGAAAATAATAAGACATGGACCTGTGTTCTATAAGAGAGACACCTGTGTTCCAAAGACCCTGGGTAATTTCTTTGGCCTGATTTTTTCTTTTTTTTTATAATGTATACTTGAAGCCCAAGTTACAAGTTTAATGTGAAAGCCCCTAAACTACCTCTGCCAGTCCAAGCAAGACATTGTTTCAGGGATTCAAATACTGTTGAAATTCTGAGTCACAGTGAGTTAATGGCAAATCATAACTACGATGAGAAGAGGGATGATAGTAGACATTTTCTTTCTCCGCTAAGATCAGCTGGAGAAACTATAGTTCTCATGGAGCTAATTATCTTGTCATCAGGATGAAAACTTTCTAGAACCAGGCAGGTGGAGGCAGATCCTGCTCTAGGGTTCTCAATCAAAGTAAAAGTGTCTTTTTTTTTTTGGACCAGGTGACCTAGTGTTCATGAAAAAATGCTGACTTACTCTAACCTGCTGCCAATTCTGAGCATCAGCGCTATTGCCTTTAGCTAAAATGCAAGTGACAGCATTCTCAGGGACAGGATATGATACACCTTGCCCTATAATCCTTTCCTTTATTAGCCTCTAGTTGCATCTATCAACACCCTTATTACTGTCACTGTTAATCTTCACATCTCAAGAACGCTCAAGTATTCCTCGCATTTTAAAGACGTCAAATGATTCATGTGAGCACAACGGTTAGGGTTCAGCTAGAACTTTGCCTGCTCATGGGTTTAAACACTTGCTCCCCCACTTGTGGTGGTGTTTTGGGAGACGGTGGAAGCCCAGCCTAGCTAATACAAGTAGGTCTCTGGGCATCCTCCTTGAAGGTGACATCTACTTCTGGTTCCAAATCAAATACTGCTTCATGATCCACCAAGATGTGAGAGCAGCAGCCACAAACTCCGGCCACTGTGGCCCCGAACTGTCTCAGCTGCTCTTTTCAGGGAAGGGATTTTCTGTGTAGCTTTGTAGACCAGGCTGGTCTTTGAACTCACAGATATGTACCTGCCTCTACCTCCCGAGAGCTGGGATAAAAGGCATGTGCCACCAGCACCTGTTTTACAATGCTTCTTTTGGATGTTTTGACCCTATGTGGAGCAATAACTAATAAACAATAAATTCCACATAGACTGTTTCTCCTTGATCTCCCTTTAAGTTCATGTAATATACATTGTATCCTAATAGTCCCAGTGTTGTTGGGACAGTCAGCTGAATCTCATTCAAGCTATCTCCTCAATAGAGGCACTTTTGTCTTATGTGAATGAAACATATTCAGCACAGCCATTCTTGACACTAATTTGCATAAAGTGAGCCAGAGGAGATTGCAAGACTATCAAGCCTCTACATCAATCCAATAGGTGTTTCAGGACCAGGGAACTGGCTGTTTTCAGCCCTATCCCAGTTGGTTCCCATCCAGGGAGCTTAGAAGCAGTACTTTACTAACCCTTGCTCCAGTGGCAGTCGGAGTGAAAAAAGAAACATTGAGTATATTTCCATGCTGTTGAATTTCCTGGAACCTATACCATCTTATTTAAACCTTTATACTTTTGATGGGGGAAGTGCTTCTGTGTATGTGTTTGTCTTATTGGATGACACATAAAGTACTGTTTGGCTGATGAGGCAGCAATTTAGGTGGGACTAGGAGTCAAGGAGGATTCTGGGAAATGTAGTAAAGAAGTGGTGATCCAGGCAGGAAGTAACATAGCAGAGAGACTCATATATAAACAAGGGCAAGAAGGAAGTGGGCCCCCTTCTCTCTTCCTCCGGAGTCACTATGTGAGCCTGGGAAGACAGGATGTTTTCCACTGGCATCCAATAAGATAAGTCTTATAAAATATATAGATTTATGATAATTAAGACTGAGCTAGCAAATGAGAAATCCTAGTCATTGGCCAAGCAGCATTTGTACTTAATATAAGTCTCTGGTATTATTTTGGCCACCCACATGGTGGGCAGAACTCAAGTGGGTAGTGGAAAGATTTATTGTAACACTTTTGCTGTCTCAGAGGTAAAATTCCTGTCTCAGAGAGGCTTCCTGGGTAGATGACTTATACAATGGTTAGACTCCAGAGTTTAAGTAGGTTTAAAACACAAACTTTCCTAGTGTTGTAGGTTCCCATGAGGTCATCGTGTGTTTTGTGGTCAAGAAAATTCTAGTTTGTCATTCACTCAAGTAGTTCAAGAGTATATTGCTTTTGGGATCAACGTGATATGAGAAAGAGCCCTGAGATAAAATTCAAAAGACCTGAGGAGGATTATTTGTGACTGTAGAAATAGCTAGTTTGTGTTTTCATTTAGAAACAAAGAAAAAAAATGTCGTCAGGTGGTGGTGGTGTACCCCTTTAATCCCAACACTCTTGAGGCAGAGGCAGTCAGATCTCTGTGAATTTGAGGCTAGCCTGGCCTACAGAGCAAGTTCAAGGACAGCCAAGTCTACACAGAGAAACCTTGTCTTGAAAATCAAAACAAGCAAACAAAAGACAAAAACAAACAAACAAACAATAATAACAAAATGTACTGTGACTATGGTAAAGAATCTTTGTAAATAAGTAAGCATTGAAGAGGCAGAGGCAGGAGGATCTCTGTGAGTTCAAGGCCATTCTGGTCTACCTAGTGAATTCTAAGAGAGCCAGAGTTATATAGTGAGATCCTGTTTTAGGGTGGGAGAGAATCTTTGTAAATACAAACCAGAGAATGTATACAATTTCTAAAGATAGAATTTCTGCACAGTTCTAACACACGAAGATTTAATCTAGGTAGAAGCCCCTTATTTACAGCTCTTTAAGGACCCACTAACTGAGCAGACAGAAGTCTTCCTAGGGATACCCAGAAACTTCTGTTTTGTAAAAACTTCTCACAAATAACCATCAGACAGAAATTGTGTATGTGACAGGCTGAGAAGTGTTTTAAGATGGGCATCTCTTAGCAAGGGATTCAGTAGTGCTCGTATACTTAGCAGGGGCTAGTTACTGGGAAGATGGTCTGTGCTATGAGGTAATGACCTTCAGCTGGGTACAACAAGAGGTGGTATTCTACTTTCTCTTTCCTGGACCTAAGTCACTATGTGACTCTAGGTCCTCCTCTTCTTCCTCCCCCCTCTCCCTTCCCCCTCCTCTATTTGTTTGTTAGCTTACCTGATAATTAGACAGCCCAAGAATCATGTGTTGGTCTTTTGTCACTATCAACTGCCAGACACACAGTAAACTTGGCATTTAGGGCCTACTGGAAGAAATCAGTGGAAATATAAGTGTTCATGACTGTTGATAGAGAACATGTAGAAACAACATCTTCAGAAAATCTGCCGTTATTTAAATAAACCTTGAAAGCAGAGACAGCTGATGGCTATAACCAGAAATAGGAATATGCAGCCTCCTGAGGGGAACATTTTGTTCTTGAAGAGAAGGAAAATAAAAGTGTGTGTGTGTGTGTGTGTGTGTGTGTGTGTGTGTGTGTGTGTGTGTGAATGCTACCCTGCTTCTGTATCAAAGAATAAAAATGTGTGATAATTTCCACTTTTTTAATAAGTTGCAATAATCTGTAGCCTGAAAATGTTAGGCTTGGGTGGAAATTTTGAATAGGTGTGTTGATCAGCTTTAATTTGCTGTTGAAGATTAAAGTTGTATTGAAATGGATGAATTCCAAATTTTAATTAAATTCAAGTTAGGCGCCGGGCATTGGTGGTGCACGCCTTTAATCCCAGCACTCCGGAGGCAGAGGCAGGCAGATCTCTGTGAGTTTGAGGCCATCCTGGTCTACAGAGTGAGTTCCAGGACAGCCTCCAAAGCAATACAGAAAAACCTTGTCTCGGAAAAAAAAAAAAAAAAATCAAGTTAGGCTGGTATATATGAATTGTACAGAGAACTCCTGGAGTTTTTTTGTAGGAGTTAAAAATGATGCTTAGCTGGACTGGATGGAAAACTATTACATAAGACAGATAGGCATTGATGTTGTTTTGGGGGTAATAAAACTACCATGGATAGTATGCCTGTGGAATGCTGTCCAATCACAAACGCTGATACTCCAGATGCAGGGATCTATTTTCACTGGGGAAATACTTGCTGTGCTGAGGAACCATTACCCTGTTTGTGCCAAGCTGCCTGTCTTGCCTGAACTTAGCTGGAGACTGAATTTTTAGACAATCTTTGATTGCTCTCAAGTTTTCCTTTTCTGAAACAAGCTCCAAGTTATATCCTGTATGGCACCTCTCAGTTCTTGGAAGTCCAGTGACTCATTTCCTAAAATGAGCTGATGTTACTTTTCAGAACTTAATGTTTAAAGAACAAAACATATAATTGCAAGCTAACCTCAGGTGATGATTATATTTAAAAAGGTTTAAAGACCTATGCTGGGTGCTGGACTGGGTGTGAGGGTGGGGGTGGGGGTGTCACTTGTAATACACCCACTTACTCTAGGAGATCTGCATACAAATTACTGCAAGAGAATATTGACATTTGGCAAGATGACACTTTAAATCAAGAATCATTAAGAACAGTGTGCCTTTCATTAGTTTATCAGGTACTCGAAGGACCTTGTTTTGTGTTATTCCCTTAGTTTTCTCTGTTTCTTTTGTTTTCAGAAACTAAGTTGCATCATGTAGCCCTGGCTGGCCTTGGACTTGATATATAGACCAAGTTAGCCTTGAAGTCACAGAGATCTGCTGCTTGCTGGGATTAAAGTCAATCTACACCATATCTGCACGCCCCTACCCCCCTTTTTATCACAAGGCCTCATTTAATTTAGGCTTGCCTGAACTTGCTAGTAGAGGCTGGCCTTCAGCTTCAGATTCCCCTGCCTCCACTCCCCCACCGCCCCTGTCCACTTAGCCACCAAGTCTGGCCCACCTTTGTTAAAGCCTGTAAAAGGGTACTCACTGTATTATAGGCAAACTGAACATGTGGCAACCAGGTTTTCCTCATTCTGGAACCCGAGAGTAGCAGAACTAGTAGAAAGTATAAACAGGCAAAAGAAAATATTTATTGTGGGGATTTGACTCTACAAAATAACTAGTTTACCTCTAATCAGGAGGTGAGTCAGGAAGATTGATGTCAGCATGGAATATAGTTCCAAAACAACAACAAAAACAATTACAGGCTGGGGATATAGCTTAGTGCAACAATTGCCTAGCAAGCAAGTTAAGGCCCTGGGTTCCATTCCTAATGCCCTCACCCCCCAACAACAAAGCAACAAAGTAGGAGCTGGGTTTCTGTTTGGTACTGGAGTCTGGAGTTTGCAAGGGTGGCAGTCGGGAGGGGTGGGTGGCTATGAAGTGGGAAGATCAAGGAACAAACAGTGTCTTTGAAGCTTGGCTGGAAACCACAATGAAGGACCGGAACTCCTGTCTGTCTGCCTCCAGGCCTCTAAGGCTTAGGATAGTGACACTCTGAGCGAGAAACTGGTGCCCTGTATGTCTAGGATGTAAAAAACGCACTTGGCCCCAAAGCCAGAGAAAGTGAATCATAAGCCCCAGTCGGAGCAGCAGCACCGAAGGCCCAGCTGCGGCCCCACCCAACTGTGAGTGCGTGAGTCAGCAGATAGGCAGCCGAGTGCGTGCAAGCGGTGCAGCGGGGCCACATCCCAGCACCAACTTCCCGAGGAATGCGTTTGCCCCTTCCTTTCTCTATTCCACACCTTTTAAAAAATATTCCTGTGAGTCACATTAGTTCTGAGTGCTGCAGGGCAGGGAGGTGAACGACTGAGCTCTTACTTAGATAAACTGGCATAATGCAAATGCATGTTTTGGTCTAACCTTCTGTCAACTTGGCATCCAAACACACCTTTTAACGATGTTTAGCTTCCAAATAAAGACAAAGGGTGAAATATTGCCCGAAGCTGACATAACACAATCGGTGGTCACACATGTGAAAACATCCGGAAACTCTGTGATCCTGTGCTAGGAGAAAGGTCTAGAGCCCTAGCAACAGAAGACGGATTCTGAATTCTAGAGAGACATCTGCACCCATCTTTTAGCTGTTATGAACATACGTACATGCAGGGGTTAGAGCTTGAAGCTGATCTCCAAAGAAAATGTACAACACACTTTGACCCTACAGCTAGCAAAGGAATGGCCCAGCCTGGGAGTGGTGGCTCATGCCTGTAATCCCAGTACTGGAAAACCAGAGGAGGGTTGCTTTGAGTTAGAGCCTAGCCTGGTCTACACAGTGAGTTCTAGAATAGTCTAGGCTATAGTGTGAGGCTCTGTTCAAAACAAAACAAGCACACACATACACACATAATAAAGGAATAGACCAAGGGATGGAGTGTTTTGCCAGGCCGGGAACAGATAATGTTCTTTTCAAACTATTAATTTTTATTTTATGAGTATTTGATTGTACGCATGCATGTGAACCATGGGTGTGCCTGGTACTCATGGAGGCCAGGAGGAGATGCCAGATCTTCTCAAATTGGAGTTATAGACGGTTGTAGGCTGCTGTATAGAGGCTGGAAACCAAAACCAAATCCTCTGCAAGAGCAGTAAGTACTCTCAACCACTGAGCCAACTCTCCAAGTCCAGGTATGGATCTTATATCCACCAACCCGTAAAATCCTAAAACTTTTTCCTTTCAAAAAGGAAGAGAGGAGATTTGGGGGCTGGAGATATCTCTGGGTTGGTAGAAGGCATTCCTAGCATTCATGAGGCACAAGGTTTCATCAGCGGTACAACCCAAATAGGCATAGTGGAACATCCTTGCAATCCCAACACTCTAGGAGCAGAGGCAGAAGCAGGAAGGTCAGATATTCAAGACCATCCTTGGCTACATAATGTGTTCAATGGTATCCTGGGAAACATGGGAGACCATGTCTCAAAAATAAGGGGCATTTTAGGACAAAATGTCTACCCCACTTTTCTCAGGTTTAGATTAGAATATATAAAAAGAAAACCTAACAAGAGCACAGAGACACAACCTGAAGCCAATTGCTTTTCTCCCAGGAAAGGTTAATTTGTTTCATAGCTAAATGTCCGTATCATCTGGCCTTGTCTCACTATTTTCTATAAATTGTTAAGCTTCAAGGCATGCTGATAAGGAATGAGGTCTTTCCTTGGCCTGGCCACACTGTAAGTAAATCCATTTACTGGTATTAATTTTTTTCTTGTGTGTGTGTGTGTTTGTTTTTTGTTTGTTTGTTTGTTTGTTTTGTTTTGTTTTTCTCAAGACAGGGTTTCTCTGTGGTTCTGGAGGCTGTCCTGGAACTAGCTCTTTTAGACCAGGCTGGTCTCCAACTCACAGAGATCCGCCTGCCTCTGCCTCCCAAGTGCTGGGACTAAAGGCGTGCACCACCAAAAACCCGGCTGTTTTTTATTTGTTTGTTTGTTTGCTTACATTTTTATTTTTATTTATTTATTTTGGTTTTCTCGAGGCAGGGTTTCTCTGTGTAGCCGTGGCCATCCTGGAACTTGCTCTGTAGGCCAGGCTGACCTTGAACTCAGTGATCCCTCCCGAGTGGTGGAATCAAAGGCATGTGCTGCTGCCAGCACCATCCAGCTGAAAGTTTTCCTTTTTAAATTATGTTTATTTAGTTACACATTTGTGTAAGAGTATGTGTGCATGCATGTCCCAGTGTACATGGAGATCTGAGGACAACTTGAGAGACCCAGTTGACTCCTTTTACCATGGAGTCTTGAGGATTGAACACGGATTGTCAAACTTAGGGGCAAGCATCTCTACTCACTAAGCCTTCTTGCCAGCCCTTGTTTCCTATTTTCTTTTGGAATGCAGGCAAACTAAAGAGGTAGGCTGTGGACAGGGACACTCTGTAACTATTTTTACCAATAAAGTTATAAAATCCTTTTACTTGGTACCTTTCATTCTTCCTCTAGCTGAATCACATTGTCCCTGAGATGGAAAATGATGTGGGTCTTGTGCTGGTGTCTTGGTTACTTTTCTATTGCTGTGAAAAGATGCCATAACCAAGGCAACTTACCAAAGAAAGCATTTAATTGGGGGCTTGCTTGTCCTTTCAGAGGACGAGTCCATGGCCATCATGGCAGGAAACATAGCAGCAGGAAGGCAGGCATGGTGCTGAAGCAGTAGCTGAGAGCTTACATTTTATCTGCAAGTTAGAGGCAGGGATGAAGTGTAGACTTTTGGAATATGAAATATCCCCCCCCCCAGTGACACACTTCCTTCAACAAAATCACCCCTCCTAATGTAGTTGTTTTTTGATGGTGGTGAGAAGTGAGTCACAGAGTACAACAAACCCATGCGGGAGTTGACTAAGGGCGAGTAAAATCGGGCTTCTGGTCTCAGAGGGTTAGAATTGTATCAGTCATCTTCCCCATTAAAATTATTTATTATTTTATGGTGTGCATTTTGCAGGTAGGGATTTGTATGTCACATTTCACATGTGGAGGTCAGAGGACAACTCTTTGGAATTATGTCTTAGTTACTTTTCTAATTGCTGTGATAAAACACCATGGCAATGACCAAAAACAACTTATAAAAGAAATCCATTTAATTTGGGGCTTATGGTTCCAGAGAGTTAGTGTCCATGACCATTATGGTGGGCAACATGGCATTAGGCAGGCAGACATGGTGCTGGAATAGTACATCTTCGTCTACAGGTGTAAGGCAAAAAAGAGAAAGGAAGAGCGGGAGTGAGCAAGTGAGAGAGAATGGCAGGAGTCTTTTGAAACCTTAAAGCCTGCCACCAAGTGACACACCTGCAGTAAGGCCACATCTCCTAACCCTTCCCAAGTAGTTCCACAAACTGGGCACCAAGTATTAAAACGTGAGTATGCGTGTCTCTGTGTGTGTGTGTAGCATTCTCATTCTAACCACCAGAAGTCAGTTTTCTCCTTCAAATATTCCATGGGTTCTGAGTGTAGAACTTGGGTACGTAGTCTAACACAGCAAGTGCCTTCACCTCCCAAGCATCTCACCAGCCCATTATTCCCATTTTATTTACAAAATATGATTGGTGCCACTTTGAGGTAGAGGAGAATTAAACATTAAAAAAATGAAAGTTACATTTTTAAGCAACATCTATTTTCTATCTATGTAGGTTTTTGACTTCTTTCTATATTTGTAAAAGAATAAAAACTTTATTCGTTGGGACTAGAAGAAATTTAAAAGTCGGTAAATAGATATGGTGGTGTATAATTTTGTCAACTTTCTATGTCATTTCTGACTTACTATTTTCTGTTTATGATTAATACTTATTGTAGGATCCTGTGTGCACATGAATCATGCTGGAAACTACTAAGCACAATAGAAACACATTTGTATCTCTTCTATTTTCAATTTATCATGGTGACTTGGACCTACAATCATAGTACTTGAGAGGCTCAACTTGGAAGGACAGCCGAGTTCCCAGCTAGCCTGGGCTAGAGTGACAACACTTATCCCCCAAATAAAACAAAATAAAAATCCACGCAGGTCAGCACACATCTGGAATCCCAGTATTTGGGAGGTAGAAACTAGGGGACCAGGACTTCAATGTCATTGTAGATGGATAGTGAATTTGAAGCTAGCCTGAGCTACATGAGACCCTATCTCAAAACAACCAACCAAAAGCAAGTACCAAACTGAACCCCACTGTATTTTCAATATGCCATAGCTGTTCAACATATTCAAATGTGTTTTTAAACTTCCCTTTTCAGTATTTCCATCAATAAATTTTCCTTAAAATTTCCAACTAAATATATATTGGTGTTCAACTTCTATGCTTAGTAATTAACAAGTATGTGAAAATGAGATTGCACTTGGCACAATGTTATGCTTTTTTAAAAATTTATTTTATTTTATGTGGGTTGGTATTTTGCCTGCATGTATATCTGTGTGAAGCCCTGGAACTGGAGTTACAGACAGTTGTGAGCTGCCATGTGGGTGCTGGGAATTGAACCTGAGACATCTGGAAGAGCAGCCAGTGCTCTTAACCACTGAGCCATCTCTGCAGCCCCAATGCTATACTTCTTGACCCTGAACCAGATGAAAGTGTGGATATTTGTCACGCACAGGTCATGTACAGTGTATCCTGACCTACCTTATCACACACATTTTGAACTGTTTCATAACACTGTAACTTTCTTTGCTCCTATCTCTGTATTAGTATAGACACTGGCACAGATCTGCAGAATTTATGGAAAGCAATGTGCTCTGTGGGCCTCGTAAGTTATTCACATTTGTTCTTATGTCAAGGATGTCTTAGCATGTTTGTGTAGTTTCCTTCAAGGCCTCAATATGAAAAGAAGAATGTTTTCTGTTAGTTCTTGTTACATTCAGATGATGGGGATCAGGTTTTGCATTTCGTTGATTTTTTTGGTTCATGTTTCTTTTATTGATAACTTTATGTTGAAAGAACTAAATGTCCATGAAAAGTTAGTATCAGAGGAATGATGCAATACATGCCAATGAAATGTGTGGCTTAACGATGAGCCCAAAGGGCCTCTAGATCAAAAGAACAATGAACTCAAGGTGAAGGTAAATACATATGTGCTCTCATAGGTGAGT